AACCACGAAAATGGACCCGCAGGGCAACCATGTATAAATATTAGTGCGCATGCCCAACATTTCGTTGCCTGTTTTCGCCTATTTTTGCTTTGGCACCACAGCGCCACTTGCAGCGTTTTCATGCATTCGTGTGGACGATCACATTTATTTTACGTCTCCGTCTCCGTCTTTACGACAAACGTTCTGGAAAATATTAGCGTTTCGTGTTCGTTTTGACTTTGTGTGGACGGGGCCTTATTCTCCTAGTAGCTTTGCCTCGTCTGTTCCTGTTTGGCTGTGACACCATCCTGGAGAGATATATCAGCTGTGCTGCTGCCATCAACACCTTTGTTTATAGATGTTGGAGATCGGCCTGTTTTTCAGTGTAGTCCTGTTTCTCTGACTGTGACTGGCTGGATGTGCTCTCTTTCTCCTCTGACATGGGAGCTGGCTTGGAGCTTGTCTGCTGTGTGTCTCCTGGATGGGGCCTCCTTTTATAGCTGCTTTTTATATTTCTGCTTTTGTCTCCTTGAATCCCAGTCGGCTTTAGTTTTTAAGATTTTTTAAAGTTTGACATGAAAATGTCGCTAAACATCAAGTCAAAGCTAAACAGTAAAGGCCAATATAATTTCACAGTGATTAACCGATAGATATCACTAATTAATGTCACTTGTGACAGATTGTGTCCCTAAAGTAATTTTAACTCCTCATATTAAGGAGACGTTCATGGATATATCATTCTTAATGTGCATGCATAAACATGTGCAAATATAGTATTTTAATATTTATGTTAATACTTCAATAACAATAATGTGATTTAAAGCTCTGTTATATTCTTGTAAATTTCCTTCTTTGGGTTTTCTATGTTATATAGTATTGTGGATGACTACAGGTGTGAATACTTAGTTTTTTGGACTGTTTATTCCATTCTCCACAACATAAAATAGATTAAGTAATGATACTAGTGGAAGGACTCAACATTTTAATAAAATGTATTTTACTTTTCTGCCAAAAAATGACAACACTTTGGATTCAATCCTTTGAAAATAAGCTCCAATTTACTCAACATGCCCAAAGCTATTTTTTCCAGCTCACCATGCTCAAAAGAAGCCCAACTGAGTGGAAAACTGCCTGGTCTGATGACACTTTAAGAAAATGAGGGCTGTGGTTTAATGATCAAGGCCCCATTTTTTGGAGAGCGTCTTTAATATTGTGCTTCTTTTTTCCTGTGTGAGTTATATATTGATAAATAAATCTGTTTCAAATAAATATTGACAGGTACATTTAGTTAGAAAGCAGCCCCTGAAAAGCTGTTAAAAAGCTTTTCAGGCTTTTCAAAATGCAGTTGCTGGAGGTGGCTCTAATAAACATCAGATACAGATGAGAGTGCCGGCACCTGCTAAACCACCAAATGTTTTCTACTGTCTGTTATTGATGTTTTGTGAGTTGGAGATGAAAAAATATGGAAGTAAATGTTTCCTAATTTACTTATCAAAACTGACTAATAATAATAACGCTTTTTCAATTTGTTTTAACAATTGCAAACCAGAGTTTTATAGTCTGTACACAACTCATTGTTAACATGCAGCAGCTTGGCAGCTGTCTCCATACGGCAGACTGATATCACTGTAAAATAGGTGGTTTGCAGTATTATTCCAAACAGCATTTCCCCCAAAAATCAAAGTGTTATACACTCTTAAGCATGACACTGATGACGTCACAACCTGGTGTGGTAGTATCATGAGAGCTAACATTCATAAGCTGCTCAGATGGTGCCACTCAAATACCAAATTCAGTTTAGGCGAGTGGACGTGAAGTTCTCTAAACAATGTTTTGCTTCATATCTTGGATGAAGTTAAGAAGCCTCTTGGATGAGAGGCGAAACGTCATCTAGAACAGCGGTCCCCAAGCACCGGGCCGCACAGAAAAAAGTATATATATATATATATATATATATATACTGTATATATATATAATTTATCAACGATCAGAGTCTGAGTGAGGTTTTATTTTGAAAAATATAAAAAATTGCGGTATTCTCTCCCAATTCCATCAGTTGGTGCATCTGTGCCTCTTGACACAGGTTAATTCAGTTCTAGACTCATCCTATCTATAACATCCTATGTTTGTGAAGCGGGATTTTCTGCGGTTACAGCGACCAAAACAAAGCTACGGAGCAGACCGGACATCAGGAGCACACTTCGTCTGTCATTGTCTCCGATTACGCCTAGATGGGACCAGCTTGTTGTTTTATTTTTATGCTGTTTGCATTTGATATTATGCCAGTAGTATCATTTTACTTGATCGTAATAAAAGTTGTTGATTTTTTTGGATATTATCGCTCAATACTTAAAACTGCAAAATCTGTATCGTATCGAAAGTAATTGTCAGGACAGCCCAANAGGTGGCTCTAATAAACATCGGATACAGATGAGAGCGCCGGCACCTGCTAAACCACCAAATGTTTTCTACTGTCTGTTATTGATGTTTTGTGAGTTGGAGATGAAAAAATATGGAAGTAAATGTTTCCTAATTTACTTATCAAAACTGACTAATAATAATAACGCTTTTTCAATTTGTTTTAACAATTGCAAACCAGAGTTTTATAGTCTGTACACAACTCATTGTTAACATGCAGCAGCTTGGCAGCTGTCTCCATACGGCAGACTGATATCACTGTAAAATAGGTGGTTTGCAGTATTATTCCAAACAGCATTTCCCCCAAAAATCAAAGTGTTATACACTCTTAAGCATGACACTGATGACGTCACAACCTGGTGTGGTAGTATCATGAGAGCTAACATTCATAAGCTGCTCAGATGGTGCCACTCAAATACCAAATTCAGTTTAGGCGAGTGGACGTGAAGTTCTCTAAACAATGTTTTGCTTCATATCTTGGATGAAGTTAAGAAGCCTCTTGGATGAGAGGCGAAACGTCATCTAGAACAGCGGTCCCCAAGCACCGGGCCGCACAGAAAAAAGTATATATATATATATATATATATATATACTGTATATATATATAATTTATCAACGATCAGAGTCTGAGTGAGGTTTTATTTTGAAAAATATAAAAAATTGCGGTATTCTCTCCCAATTCCATCAGTTGGTGCATCTGTGCCTCTTGACACAGGTTAATTCAGTTCTAGACTCATCCTATCTATAACATCCTATGTTTGTGAAGCGGGATTTTCTGCGGTTACAGCGACCAAAACAAAGCTACGGAGCAGACCGGACATCAGGAGCACACTTCGTCTGTCATTGTCTCCGATTACGCCTAGATGGGACCAGCTTGTTGTTTTATTTTTATGCTGTTTGCATTTGATATTATGCCAGTAGTATCATTTTACTTGATCGTAATAAAAGTTGTTGATTTTTTTGGATATTATCGCTCAATACTTAAAACTGCAAAATCTGTATCGTATCGAAAGTAATTGTCAGGACAGCCCAATATTTAACTCGTCAAGACAAAACAGAGTGTCACCATAATTCAGTTAGACTGGCACAATACCAAAATTATCTGTAACAGACAGAAAAAGAATTCTTTAATCTGCAGCTGTACGTACTGCTATAGCAATACACATGTAAACCATTCAAAACTTATTGATTTGTCTTTTATTTGATAAAATGAGAGGTATCAGAGACTAGCCTGGTACTGGCAACTGGTTATTTAGAGCAAAATAATATTATTTTATAGTTTATTACTTCACTGAAGAATAAAATCCATTCATTTGTAATCAATTCCATTTTAAGGCCTCCTACAAGACACACCTATTATGAAACAAGCAGAGTAAGAAAAATGGAGGCCAATACTCTACAACAATTGATATTTCCAGGCAAACTGTATTATAGGTTTTAAAATTCCTTGCAAAGTCTCTTTTCAAAAATTGATTTGCACAAAGTGGGTATGTTGGAGTGCACAATCCTTTCAAGGCCAATATATAAAGAAAAGCATTTTGAAAAATTTTGTAAAATAACAAACAATAATATAGAATTGAAAAAGGACAGTTTCACTCACAGTCTCTCCAGCTCCTTCAGGTCCTGGAACGCTCCTCTTTCAATCGTTGTGATTTTGTTCTCCATTAACTGCCTGTGAGAAAAACATCAAGAGGGGGTGAGACCATGGATATGGAAAATTCAAGACATGGGTTGATAAAGACACACACAGTGTAGGAGCTGTTGGATACATGGGAGGCCAGACAGCAGGAAAGGCCTGATTGACCTGCAGTTAAGAGAGAAAAGAAGAAGAGAAGAGGCTGACAGAGAGATGGAAGGAGGACAACAATGGAGAAGAGAGACAGAGATAAAAAGATATGTGGCATTTGATGAAACAAAGAAGACAGAGTTCAAGGGATGGAGTTGGACAATGTTGAAGCAGCACAAGAGAAGAAGAAAAGACAATCAGCAGCAGGTCGATTAGCCCTCAGTATTGACTTTAAAAGTAACCCATCAGTTTGACAGAAACTCATCCATCATCTCATTTACTCTTTATCTATGCACAAAGCTATAACCACTCATTGCCTAACCCACAGCATAACTCCTGTAGGGCTATGGCCCTC